GGCCAGCGGCCTCTCGGCGGACTTCCGGCTTGGGGAGACCATGGGAGGTCACGTGGCCACGGGAGGACTTCCGGGTGTGGCGGGCGCGGCCGGAAGGGCGCGGCGGAGGGGGGACCCCCGACGGGCGGGAGGCGACAACTCCACGGAGACCCCCAACACACCCACAGGAGGGGTGCGGGAGAACCCCAGAGACACCCACACACCCAGCCCGGCCCTAGGGGAACTCGCCGCAGCGATCTCCGGCCAGTGCCCAGCGGGATGTGGCCGGCCGGCAGCAGGGGCGCAGGGCGGAGCGCCTCAGCCTGCCCCCGTGAGCAGGGCCTGCTTCCAGCGGGAGCACAGCCACGGGGCAGCGCGGAGGGGAGGGCACAGGCACCACCCCCACTTCCCTTACCTACCCCAGGGCGGCCGGTGTTGCAGCGAGGCCGCCCCAGAACTATCTGGAGCGTGTGGGGCCAGCCCCAGCCCTGAGCCATCGGAGCCTGGCCTGCGAGGGGTCTTGCTAGCACCTCCCCTTGGACACTCCTTGCCCTTCAGGCTCAGGAGGGACATGTGTGTCTTTGCCCAGACACTCCAGAAGAGGGCTTTCCCATCCTGGGCAAGCTTCTTCCCATCTCATGGGGCGCCTGTTCCATAAACAGTACAGGGCTTGACATCTCTGGCCCAGCACCCGTCATATTCACATGGCGGGAGGAAGCAGGGGGAGAACCCCACAGACATCCACACGTGCACCAGAGCAGGGGGAGGAAGAACCCCCACAGAGCCCCAGGCAGTCCCTTTGGACAAGGCTCCCCAGGGGAAGCTCTGCGTGGACCCCACAGGCACCTCCCCCAGAGGGGCAGGTACAGACACATGCTCACCCCTCCACACAGACACACACGTGCACACCCCATCCCCAAAAGTGCCACAGACAGACAGAGTGAGCCTGCAGCCAGATGTAGGGCAGTTTTATTCCCCCATGTCCCCGCCTCAGCCAGCTGCCACCGTCTCCTTGACCCAGTCCAGGACACGCTGCACATCCACATATACACCATACTTGGAGGCTGTACAGGTCTTGTCGTAGCTGAGGATGCCAGCCACGTACCAGGTGTCGTCATCGGGGTCCTGCACGGCAAAGGCACCACCGGCATCCCCGTAGCACGTATCCTCCCGCAGCTCACTCATGCCCACGCAGAAGGTGTCGTTGCTGAGGATGGGCTGGACCCAGTAGGATTTATTCCGTGCCTCATAGTACTGCCTGCACTTCTCGCCCTCTGCCACGGGCAGCATCACGTACTTCAGCATGTTGGGAAAGGCAAGGGTGGCGCCACGGCCCCAGCCTGAGACATAACCCACCCGCCCTGGGCGCACGTAATTCTTCTGGGGCAGGCAGATGGGCATCACCTCCTCTCCGAGGAGCACCTTCTGCTTGAGCTTCAGCAGGGCCAGATCCACAGTCTCTGGGTAGCCAGGGTGCAGCACCACGCGCTCGATGTCCAAGGCAGGCTGCTTCTGGCTGCCCAGGAAGAGCTGCAGCGTAGGGGCGATCTCCTCTGGCTTGGCGTTCTCACTGTGGTTCAGGTAGACATTCTTGCCCGTGGTCAGCAGCCACTGGTCACCGATGAGCGTGGCCCCCACGGTGAGGTTGTGGCGGGTCACCAGCCGGCCCTGCCAAGGGAAGCTGGCCTTCCTAGCAAGCAGGCCCCCAATGATGCGCTGCATCTGACTGGGGGGGTTCTTTGGCTTCCCACACACTGCAAAGGGCAGAGCAGGGCCCTGGTGAGCCCCCTGAGACCAGCAGGCACCAGGTCCCTCCTGGCTTACAGCAGTCCCAGGGAGCAGCACTGAAGATGGGGGCTGGGAGATGCCCCTGTAGCCCTTCGGCTGCCCAGACAGACTGCTCACAGCCCCCCACCCTCCCTGCCCCTTGCACCCTCAGCCCCTGCTGCTCTGCTCTCACCTGGCTCACAGACAGGTGCCTCTTTGCCAGCTTCAGAGCTCACCCACGTGTGATCCTCATCACACTTGTATGTGCCTATGGAGGGAAACCAGAATCAGCACCCCTGCCCAGCAAGTTCGGGGGGATGGACCCCGCAGCCAGGGAGGTGTGGAAGTACCTGTACCTCCCCAGGGCTTGGGGGAGCACCCCCCAAGGAAGGTGGGGGTGAGGGGTGGGGGCTGGTGGCTGCATCATGCGGCTTTGGGGCAGCCCCATACACCCCCTGGAGCTAGGGACAAGCCCTGTCTCTGGGTGCTGTGCCCATGCCACTTGTCTCACCATCAGCAGAGCCGCGCAGCTGGTAGTACGGGTTGCAGCGGTACTTGATCAGGTGCTCCACATAGCCATGTTCAATCTCTGCAGGCTTTGCACAGCTCCACTCTGCAGACACAGGATGCTCAGCTTCCCAGAGGACCCAGCCCAGGACATTGCCCTCACCTCCAGGTCCCTCCCCCGTCCTTTCCTCCCTGCCCCACGCCTGCTCCCTGCCACGCTGCCCCTGGCTTCATTGAGCCCCAGTGCTCCCACCCTTGCCCTGGAAGGTACCGGTGGCAGTTGAAGTCTCCAGCACAGCCCAGGCCAGGCCAGCAATCAGCAGCACTGCAGGTCTGCAGGGAAGAGAGGGCACATTCTTCAGAGACACAGCCTGAAGAACTCACCTGGGCCACACCTGGACCCTGCTGCTGTGGAGGAGGCTGCAGTGTTGGGACCCAGAGCACTTCAGTCTGAACACGGGTCTTGCCACAGCCCACAGCAGGTCCAGGTCCCCAGCCAGGCAAGCAGGAGAGGGACTTGCACCAAGGAAGCGCAGGGACACATCAACGTCGCTTACCCCATGCTCGTAGCTCTCTCTCCTCACAGCAGCCTTCCTTCTGCAGGTCGGTGCTGTTCAGGGATCCCTCCTCATCCCTTTTATTGCTACCTCCCTCATCCTGGTGCAGTCCCATGTGCTCCAGACCTCCTGACCCGCTGTTTGCAGCCAGCACCTTTCCCAGCAGGAGGAGCACAAAAAGCCCCACCTGGCTCACAGCCGGCCTGGCAGAGGCTCCCAGGAAGCCTGCCAAGCCCCCACGGGAAGCCACCGTGCCAAGAGTTTCCGGGATTTTGCAGCTACAAATATGCAGGGAGGGATCTGGCTGCAAATGTTGGTGCCCTGGTGCGGTGACACCAGCTGGGGTTGACAGAAAGCAGAGCCAGCCCCTGCCCCCTGCAAAACTGCCCTGTGCCACCTCCTAAAGCAGTCCCTGTGGGGGCACCCAGCAGTCCCACAGGGTGGAGGCAGCCACCCCAGTGCTGGCAGGTGGAGCTGGGGCACAGGAGCCAAGTGTCATCCCATCCTGTGCCTGGCTCTGCCCACAGACCCTGCCAGCCCCCCCCCCAAATCTGCAGCGCAGCAGGGCTCAGGGCAGCACCAGCCCTGCTGGCTGAGGGGTGCAGCACATCCCATGCCAGCTCACTGCAGGCTCCGAGGGACCACGGCCAAGCCGACCTCTTCCCACAAGCGCCCACCCCTTCCCGACCAGTGGGCTCCAGACCCATGTCCTGGCAGCTCCTGGCCCCTCGGGTGCAGGTTGTTTGTCAGCAGAGGCCAGGACCCAGCCCAGCTTTACGGGAACTCGCAGCAGCAATCCCTGGCCAGTGACCAGCTGGATGTGGCCGGCCGGCAGCAGGGGCGTAGGGCAGAGCACATCAGCCTGCTCCCATGAGCAGAATCTGCTTCCAGCAAGGGGCAGCGCAGAGGGGAGGGGACAGGCACACACACACACACACCCTTACCTACCCCAGGGTGCCAGTATTGCAGTGAGGACACTCCAAAACCCTGACCCACGCCAGCACTTAGAAAGGTGCTGTGGCATTTGATGGTAGCAGGCTTAGGTAGCACTGTCCCACTGCAGCAGGCTTGTCCCTCCACAGGAGACTGCCATGCCCTGGTAGCAATGGTAAGGGAAACTACGTGACTGTGCCTTGGTGCCCACTCAGCAGCCTCCAGGTCAGTTCAAAGGGACTGCCTGTAGGAAGGTGGAGGAGGCTGCCCCAGCCTGCCCACGGGGCAAGGACCTCAGCCCATGCTCCAGGCTGTGGCAGCGCAGAGCCACGCTCGAGGCCAACACCACCAGCGACTACTGTGGCAGTGCAAGGCACTGAATGTCTCCAAGCCACAGTCACGAATCAGCTGCACAGCACAGACAAGAGTCCTGTAGGACAAGGTGAAACAAGTTAATGATCCCACAGGCATGACAGCCACCTTCAGCCCAGGAGAGCAAGTGCCTCCCAGGCCCTCTCCAGAGAAAGCACATCAAAATCTCGGACAACAGAACAGGTTACATCGCTCTTAGAGCAGCAGTAAGCATCCCCTGTCCAAAGCAGAGAAGCTAGGAAACGAAGGGGCTGGTGCAGAGGGCTGAAGAAGCTGGGGAGCAGCTGGGTGACAGCCCTGATGTGAGTTGATGGTAACCGAGAGCGGGGTCAGCAGCCCTGCTTCTCCTGTAAACAGGTTTGGTGAAGTGCTGTGACGCAATCCTGCTCTGCAGGGTGGATTGCGAGAGGCTGCAGAGGGAACACCGTGTCCAGGTCAAGATGTTTTGCTCAAGAAAAAAACATCTTGAGCAGGCCTGAGACAACCACAGGGAGTCCGGGGTAAAGCAGCAGCCAATGCCGGAGGCGCCAAAGACAAAGCCAACAGCCTCCAGAAGCATGAACAAACAGGGCCTTTCCATAACAAGGGACAGGACATAACCACAAATGTCTCCAAACATCTACGTACTGGCAGCAAAGGGAAGAAACGTTGCCCAGCTCCGCCCAGGGGCCCAGCCTCAGGCAGAAGCCTCTGCGAGGGGAGATCTGGTGAACTTTGTGTGAATCCATCCCAGAGCCCAGCTACCCTGCAGCTTCTCCCACTGGGAAAAGATGCACTGACCGGGAACAACATAAAGAGAGCTGATCCCGTTCAGCTGAGGAGAGCCAGGCTGCGTCCCCCCGACCTAAGGGGTGTCCCCAGAGCAGCACACAGGACCAGGTGAGCCAAACATTTATTGACATTCGGGCAGGACCCTAGGCTGGCAGGTTTGTTACAGGACCACGTGTGGAGGGCAGACCCTGCTGTGGAGGCTGAGGTGCAGGAGGACCAAGTGCCAGCCAGAGCAGGCAGCACAGGCTGCAGGGTCCCTGGCAGAAGGAACACCAAGAATACAGCTTGGCCTGTGGTTCTGGGCAGGGAGGTGTGTGACCTCCACAGGGAAGCGCTGCAGCAGAAGCCAGGGCACAGGACTGCCTACAGCCCGTAGGGATGTCCCCTCAGAGGCCTTCCTCACTGCCCAGCAGAGCCTTACCCAGCACTGGTTTCTGCTGGGGACCCCAACCCACAGGAAATCCAAAATGCGGCCCTGGACAGCAGCACCACTGTGGAGGCCCCATCACCTGCTCCCCACCAGTGAAGTCCCAGCTTCACCCATCATTGAGCGTTGTCAGGGGCTGGGACCAGGACCTCGGCTCAGTCCCAGCCTGACCAGAGCTGGAAACATCAGACCTGTCCCTGCTTGACTGCAGCTCCTCCTGGATAGACCTTGGTTCCGCAGTGTGTCAGGACCGGTGATCTGCTCCAACTGCTTCCATGACGTTCTTGAACCCCTGCTCCCTAACCAGGGATAGGGATGTGTGTGATGACTGGGCCAGCCTGGCACTGTGGCTCAGCCCCATGGTACCACTGCTGGTGCACCAGCACATGGCTGCCCAGAGCCACCCTGGGCCCAGGGACTCCCTGGGGAGGTGCCTGGTCCTTCACTCACCTCAGCAGCTCCTCCAGTTCCCGCTTCACCGCCCCCACCACTGGCGGCCCATGGTACACGAGCGCTGTGTACATCTGCACGAGCGAGGCTCCAGCACGGATCTTCTCCAGGGCATCGCGCCCGCTGCTCACCCCACCCACCCCGATGATGGGCACCCGGCCTGTGGGCAGGTGCGGGGTCAGGAGAGCACGGATGACACCAACAGGGTCCCCCCGAGCCCTGCTCTGGCCCTACCTTGGGTGAGGGAGTACATCTCCCTGATGGTCTGTGTGGAGAGCTCCCGCAGGGGCTTCCCGCTGAGGCCCCCGGGCTCCGTGCGCTGCCTGCTCCGGAGGCTGCTGGGGCGGCTCACGGTGGTGTTGGTGACAATCAGCCCATCCACACCTAGCTGAGGGGAGCAGCAGCATGAGGACACAGCTGCCATGAGCAACTTCCACTCTCATCCTCAGGCTACCAGGCCAGGACTCCCCCAGAAATGTGCCCGAGGACAAAGCCCCTCACTGTGGACCATCCCCAAGGTCCAGGTGATGCACACAATCAGAGCTACCCGGGACACCATCTCTACGGCAGCCAGAGAGCTGCAGGTCCACCTGTCCCTTCAGAGAGGTGACTTGCCAAGAGGTCCTATCCCCATGCTCTGCTGGCGAGGAGCTGGGTTGGTCGCCAGCCTCCCCTCCCACCTCCTCACCTCACAGACAATGCTAGCGATGTCCTCCTTGTCCTGTGTGGTGAGGTCAGGAGCAATCTTCACCAGCACGGCTGGCTTGTGCTCGAAGGGCAGCGCATCCCTCTCTGCCAGCACCTGCATGGGGACACGGTGGGCACAGAGCAGTGTGTGGTGGGGGAACACCTCCTGCCCCACACCAGGGAGATGGATGCACCCACCGCCACAGGCAGCAGAGGGACAGGTCCTCTCTCCCTATGGCACCACCGATGGGACAGGCATCCTGTGGCACAGGGCCTGGGGCATAGGACCTGCACAGGACCACAGTGAATCCTGATGCTGTGGGGTTGGGTGGCTCATTGCCCCCTTGCAGGAGCAGAGAGGAGACCAATGACTCAGTGCTCACATGCCCTTTGCTGGTGTACAGGGGATGGGATGCATCCAGTGCTGCAGGAGTGGTCTGAGCTGGCTGTGAGGATCACCCACCTTGGTCAGCAGGTCCCGCAGTTCAGCCTTGCCCTGCAGGTCCCGCAGCCCTGGGGTGTTTGGGCTGGACACATTCACAACCAGGTAGTCAGCCAAAGGGCCCAGCGTCCGGACTCCAGCCACGTAGTCAGCTGCAGCATCGGTAGAACTTTTGTTCTTGCCCAAGTTGACTCCAAGGGGCATCCCCGCTGGAACACAGAAATAGCTGAACCAGGGCAGCAGGACCAACTGCCACCTAAGGGGCCAAAGTGCTTGACAAGGGAGGCCCCAGGACCAGCTAAAATCACTACGGGGATATGCAGCCCATGTGTTTCACAGGAGCATCACCACTGGTGCTCTGGTCTCCACCTCCCAGCACCACAGCCTCCAGCCTGGCCACCCAGCGGAGGCAGCCCTCAGAAAATGCCCAGCTGGGGTCATATTTGCTTTGGCTAGTGTCTGCAGACACGTCCTGCCCAAAGCAGCAAACACAGCCTCTATCACAGGGAAAATGGCAGTAGAAAGGTGCCTGGTCACAGTCCCAAGGGGGAGAAGCTACAGCCCCAAGAGGGTTCCTGTTCTCTGAGCGCACCTCGCTTTGGCCAGGGCCTTCCTGAGCCTGGACACTGGTGTTACACACACTTCCTGCCTATGCCTATCTGGGAGACCCATAAACCCACCCTGCAGTCACCAAGAGCAAAGGCTTATGAGCTTGTCTCACCACCAGTGAGCCTGAGCTGTGTCTCCTGGCGGGCCCTCAGCCTGCGCTCCACTGCAGCATGGCCATGGCTGTTGAACCCATACCTGCACCAGAACAGAGGAGGTTCAGGGCTGGGCTGATGTCCACAAGCCCTGAGCAGGACACAGGAGAGACATGAGCATGACACATGGCCTCAGCAGCTCTGCTCAGCAGTCCAACCCAAAAAGACACCACAGAGCCAGGACCACCCCAATAAATGCCCAGACTGTGGGGCACTGCAGAGCAGCCCCCTCAGATCCCACCTGTTAATGACCGCCTCGTCCTCCACCAGCCGGAAGACCCTGGGTCTAGGGTTCCCCTCCTGGGGCTTGGGTGTGACAGTCCCTACTTCCACAAAGCCGAAACCCATCTTGTACAGCCCGTCCACGGCCTCCCCCTGCTTGTCGAAGCCAGCCGCCAGGCCCACCGGGTTGCGGAACCGCTGGCCGAGGACTCGCACCTCCTGAGGGGCAGGGGCTGGGTCACACACAGGCAGCCAGGAGCTCCAGAGGCCACCGACACCAGGAGCTACAGCCACGGCCTCTCTCCAGCCCCAGCAGGGGCAGCCTCTGTCCCCCCACACTTCACCCCCTCTGCCCTGCAGGGTGTCCTCCTCAGCTGCCTGCCCCGGGGGACCCACGGCTCCTGCCAGGGCCACCTCCTGCACCCCAGGCCACCCTAGGAGCCCTGCTGGGCACCTCCACCAATGGGCAGAGCTCATCACCTCCCACGGACCACTACAGGTCCAGGGTCATCTCCTGCACCCCCGGCCACCTCAGGACCCCTGGTGGGCACCTCCACCGGTGGGCAGAGCTCATCACCCACCACGGAGCATGACAGGTCCAGGGTCATCTCCTGCACCCCGGGCCACCCCAGGAGCAGTGGGCAGAGCTCATCACCCCCCACAGACCACGACAGGTCCAGGGTCATTTGCTCCACCCCGGGCCACCCCAGGAGCCCTGCTGGGCACCTCCACCAGTGGGCAGAGCTCATCAGCCCCCACGGACCACGACAGGTCCAGGGTCACCCTGGGTCGGGACCCGGCTGCCCACTCACTCCCCCGGGCCCTGCCGTCCCCCCCGGCC